GGTGAGATGACCTAAAATAGACAATATAATATAGGTGCACGTTATGTTAAATTAAAAACATGTTATTATAATATAATGTTATTAGAAATCCCAGGCGAATAGCTAATTCTCAAAGACAAATTTTGAGAACAGCTATGTATTTTTGAACATGATTTTTCGTCTTTATAAGCAATAAACGTTTTCATAAAACTTAAAAGACGGTCTCCTAGTGGTTAAAGAGGACTCTTCCACTTGCCAAACATGCGGAACTGGACTTTCCGTCAAACAAATACCTAGCCGACTGTTTAAAGTATATAATCAAGATTGGATCGAGCACAAAATTTCACATAACCTGCAGAACACCACACTGGGACCCAATCACGATCATAACTTAAACATGATTCATTTTCTTAAACAAACAAAATTATATTCTATAATTTARAAATATATWATTTCTATGATAATTTCTTTAATTTTTTTAATTAACTTTTACATTTATAACATTATTAAGTGACTAACAGCTTTTGCTGTTAATGTTAAATTTATTTTATTATCAATAAAAAAAGAAATTTTTAAAAATTATGGTATTATATAGATTAGGTATATAGTTTGAAGGAGTTTATTATAATTATTTAAATGTATTAATTTACAAAGAACGTTTCCATATCCGTAAAAATAAAGAAATATTATTAAGTGGCATATCCATTTTTAAGGCGAACGATCTAAAAGCGAAATCATGCAAGGGTTACACAAGAAAACACGTTCACGATGTAACAGTTTTACAGAGATAGCTTCTTTACGTTGGAAAATCAATGAGGCGGAGTATAAAGTCTCTCCATATCTTGCTTATGCTCTATATTCTTGGACAAGTTTGACATAATCTGTTTGGGTTAAGTTTCTAAAATCGCTAGAATGTAGAGAGGTTAGGGGTTAAGATGTTGATATACAACGTAAGTGATGGTATTTATAGTATATATTTACATATCAAACAGATTTAATACCTATAATGTTGCTTTGAGAGTTAAGTCTAAAACTGCGTAATAAGTTTTTCAGTTTAAGTATAAGAAACTGTTCACAGAGATATTTTCTTTAAAATTAAAATGGCTTCACTAAAGTTACCTACTGTAAGAATATTATTAATCACAACTTAACAAAGTTAATTTTGTTTATTCTTTAAGAAGATAAAGAGGTTCCACTGAACAAGACCATGATGAATACATTAATCACAGCCAATGTAAATTAGGTACATAAAATAAAATAGGAACTATAATACTCCGCCGATGTAAATAGTAAATAAACATTATGTATATACCAAGCTATGTTAGTTTTATATTACTATAGAAATAATAATAATATAAATWATAATATAATACTTATACTTATGTATAGGAATAAATAAAAATAATCTGATGATGAATAGTTATAGTAGACGGTTTTTAAAATTTAAATTCGAATAAGCTAAAATAAAAATGACTATATAAAACATAAATAAAACTATAATATACTTAATACTTTTTAATCCTATAGGTATTATAGTTATTATATGAAATATATGATTTAATTCTTCRTTATGTGTTATCATTAAGTATTTTAATTTAATTTAAATAAAAATATTTCACGATAATATTTATCAACATAACTGTTAGGATCAATGCATAACTATATTATATTATCGTACAGTAGGTATATAATGACTGAATATGGATTGCTGTGATGAATAGAGTTTACTAATCTATACATTTTGAGAACATTTTACATTCAAACTAAATCCATAAAAAATCATTCAAAAATTGTAAAAACAGAATTATTTCAACTGTAACCTTAGTAAATTTTAAGTTTAGTATCATTTTCGGTGGATCAAAATTACAGTAAAACTTCGGTAAGACGAAAACCCTGATCATACGAACAATTTCTTTGGTCCCAATAAAAATACATAATGATTGTGAATCCCCGTCAAGTCAGAACCCGGATTAAGACGGAAAAATTGGACAGTCCTAAGCGGTTTGGTCTTAGCGAGGTTTTACTAAACTTTAAAAAAAAATTAGGTACTTATATCCATATCTAGAGGCAAAAATTATAGTTTCTGTTAAAAAAAAAAATCAATGATAATGAACATACAAGGATAACGTAAGGTTAAAAATGTTGACATTTCCCAAAAATTTATATTTCCGACATTGATACCCTTCTCAGCAAACCATACTCTATACTCCATACTTATATAAAATATAACTCATCGAATTCATTATGAAGATAATATGAGAAGAGACAAACTGTATGCATACATTKAGTATAATAAATGTGTATTAAAAATTGAAAAGCCAAGGGCTTGTTGACAACATGTTTAATCATGATTTTCATACCAAATTCGTTAATATTCATTACCTTATCCTATTAAAAAATCAACAAGGTGTTTTTAGTGTATATAGTGATAAACATTTTAATTATTATTAATTAAGTCTCATTATGCGCTTGACTATTTAGTCAATTAAATATAYTTTCCTTAATTTGAAAATCTAAATCGTGAATTAATTATATACTTTAAGTGTTGATATAAACGATACAACATTAAATTAATTTAAATTTAAAAATATATGTTATTTGAGTATAGTGGACGTTATTCGTTGGGTGTGGAAGTAGGTAAATACATTATAAAATTGTTATTTTAATTTACGAGTTGATGCAGGTAGCAGTGCACACAATTATAAACTAACATAAATATTTATAATTCGATACCAGTAATCGCATTATAACACTGTTATAGTATGATCATTATAACAACAAATGCACGCATGTAGGAAAATTCAAAAGACTTATAATAGTTGTATATATTTATTTACATGTATGAAAAACTATATCAGGCTGCACCAATCTTCAGTCAAGGCAAATTAAAACGTAAATATCAAAGAAAAGAAGAAAAATAAGGAGCATTGGCAGCTTGATTCAGAACGATCAAACGAATAAAATATACAAACATAAAAGTACAAACGATTACAACAACGACAACGAAGATGAACGAACGATTTAAATACTCGAGCTTACATATTATTTGTTGACTTACTACTGTAAACAGAATAAACGACGAAGCTAAATTCTGTTATGAAAATATAATTTCGTTAACATTATTGTGAATAAATTGTCTTATATATATTTATCAGTTGCAAAATAAAGTGAATTTACCCWCTCCCAGAAAAAATAGTATCCACACCGTTATCTTAGACAAGACGCGTAAACTCTCCAAGAAACTTGTTATGTACATTTCGTAATCAATTATGGYCATAGGTCCCTTCATCGAATACTCGAAGTGTTCGGAATGCWCAAAARCTCAAATGGCACATCTAAATAATATGATACAATTCAAATAATAKTATGTACCTACATAACAATTCGTCACATACAGTGAAAATTATTTAGTCAACGATATTTGTTTACAATTTTGTATTATTAACAATACGACGACGCRCATAAAGACTCTTTGGTATGTCGACTTAGTTATAACAACAAGAGGTAATAATATGTTTGAACCCACCAAAGCATCAACATCAATATGTGAGATGATAATATTAAGTGGTAAGTGGTAATACATAGCGTTATGTAATTTGTCACGAATTTGTTCCGGGCAACGCCGGGTAATTCAGCTAGTATTATATATGAATTTAAATTATGTGTTAAAGATTGTTAATAGGGTAATTTGTATTACAAAAACATATTATTGTTATAGACATTAATTTACTTGGAGATCGACCACAAAAAAAATATATGTATATAATGAATATTTTATGCACGGGCCATAATATTCATGTTGCAAAGATGTATATTTTTTTTTTAACACTGGTGTAAAAAATATGGAACAATGACATCTAACTATTTCATTTTTGGTTGCTCTGAGAGTACAAATAATTCGATTAAAAAGTTAAATATGTCTAATAATATACAACATAAAAAATTTTAATACGTTTAATGTTTGTTAGTTTATCCATCTATCAGCTATTTGATTATTAAATCACAGTTTATACAGTTCTAAATTTTTATTTCACAGTCTGGAGCAGAAGAATTTTTGAAAAATGTTGATCAATAAAATATGTTGAATAATTTAACTAATAGTTGCTTAAACAATTAAGCTTTAGATGAACTTGTGCAATGTTTATTTTCTTTCGTGCTTAAGAATCATTAACATTTATAGACGATCTAACGTGTAAAAGTCTAGAATATTATCAACTATATAATATATATATATTTTTTATAACTTTATTTATATTTCCACAATCTGTTACATAAATTTTGAACAATAAGTGAAATTGATGAAATAGATAACTATGGCGTGAAGGACGGATTAAAGATACCTTCCATTAGAAAATATCATAAGGARAGATAAGTGGAAATAGCAAAGGCAGATATAGAAAGAAGAACTATATATATATATATATATATATTTTTTTTTATATAGAACAATTTATAAAATATGTTCATACACACAATAATCAAATAGTAAGACGTGATGGTTATATGAGAGGCAAAGAGAAGGGATCGTCCAGTGACACTACTTCAACAATTGTAATTCGGGATTTATTAAAATTATTTTTAGAAGGAAAGATTCAGTATTTTTTAAGACGTTTCAAGAGGATTTAATTAATTCAGTATATATATTTTATGGAATTTCATTTAGAAATGGAAATGAGTTGTATATTATATCGTTTGAAAGTTAGGTCGTGAAGCTGTCAATATGGGAAGTTCACAATCAATAAATCTTCGGTTGATTAAAATATAGCTTTAATTAAGGTAGATTTTTTTGTGTTTTTTTGTCGTGAATAAGCGACCGTAGGCTGAGCACTAATTTTAATTAATCTATATCTTCYAATTCTGAATAATTTAATTGAGTACCTATCATAACGTTTGACACATTTGGCGCTATAGAAGAAACTAATGATTTTGATGTTACATAACTTCACGGACACTCTAATGTCTTTCTTATACATAATATTATATGCAAGTGCAATAGATGTTAAAAAATCGTCGTAACTCACCAGTGTTCCTGTAAATGGCATTYACCCTCTGCACGTGTCTAGTCATGACTTCGATGCACGTCTCTTCCCTGCCGTACTTCTCGTAGAACAGATGGTCGGCCTGCAGGTACAGCATGCACGTGGTCTTCCGGTTGTCGACGAACCCACCCAGCCCCTTCTTGCGGTTTTCAAACGGATCGTAAGCTCCGCTGTCGTCCACCACCAGGTTGCTGCTGGCCTCATCTCCAGCCACGGCCACCAGTATCTTGCGCTGGTCGTTTGGGTCATACCAGTTGGGCTTCGGCACGGCCGTCTTGCTGGTGGCCGACTGCCTGCTCCGGTTCACGATGGTTCCGTTCGGCGACCGCACCAGAATCACACCTTCCGTGTCGTACGTCTGGTTCACCAGCCTCTCGGCGTCGGCGTGGCCGTCGTCGGTCGACCGGCGTTCGCGCAGTGCCTCCGACCTGCAGCCGCCACCGGCCGACTTTGGGTTGGATACGTCCGACAACCGGTACGCGACACTGTGGTACGGTAACGTCGACTCATCCCCATACCGTGACGAAGGTTCTACGAAATATTCCTCGGTGGCCGTGCTGATGGTACCATCAAATAGTCCGTCGGACGTCACGATGCCACGTACGGTCACCGTCTCTTCGTCTGTAAAAAAAAAAGAACCAATGAAATCAATCGTAATGGAATTATTATAAATCGTTATAATTTAGGTATTAATATTTAATTTAATAATACGACGCCCACTCCATCCCATTCTTTTTTTTCAATAGAAGTGGGGGAAATTTTGATCGAGTATTTAAAAAAAAAAAAAATAGAAGTTTTCAGTTTTTCAGTTTTTCATTTAGTTAATCATAGCACGAGTGAGTTATCGTCGTAAATATAAGTGTTTTCGACGTTTGGGTACTACATAATATATTGAAAAGAGAGCGTGGTTTTTACTAGTTTTTTTTTTTTTTGTAATTCACCGTGTTTAACATCGATTTGTAATTACGGTCTAACGAAAAAAAAAATCGGAAATACGCGTAGTGTATGTGAGTGTTTGCGGAGTGTGTGTAACACGCGTCACGCGTGTCTAATACAGACTATAGGTAATTTATAACAAGCGGATATAAGTGTTTATGAAACAAACACAACTCCCTTAATGGCATATGTCACATGTGCGAAATGTTCTGTACCGCTGACGAGCATTTAAGCCATGATGAACGGTATAATTATAAGTTGTCATTGATTATACATTTAACATAATTTTGAAAATTAAAWACAAGATATAACGCGTGATGTGTATAACGGCATCTTCCCACGTTTAAACCATAGACAACAGTTATGTATAATTACTGGATTTTATGTTTTCGGAATGACAATTGTTTTACATGAAGGAATTCACTTGAAAAAGTTTTTTTGACATACATTTACGTTGTTCTAAATTAAAACGTTCATTTCATCCAATTTCTAGGTTGCTCTATTATTTATATAACGAATTAATTCAATTATTCACAAATAGGTATACTTAAGTAGGTGTTTATTTAAAAAAATAAAAATACAATTTTAACACTTGAGTATTTTTATATTATATCATAAATATTAAAATGTATTTCAAAATCTTGTTTTGGAAATGTTCAATTACTTGTTTGGTAATACCTACATTGAAACAAATATTTTCTKAAAAGATTTTCGAAATAAAGAAATTAATATTAGACTGCGACGATAAAAATAAATGCCTAAGTACGTTTGATAATGTTGAGTTATATATTAAATATATTATTAAAAATACACTAGTTAAGAAAATTATATTATTTTTTTTAAATATTAAATATTAATAATATGCACACGGAAATAAAGTAATATGCACATTTTTGTTAAAATTGACSCAATATGCAAAATACACATTTTATATTTTTTATTTTTAAACTTATCATTTTACAGCTCAGATTTCTTACTTGATCTGCAAGAGCATTATTTACTAAAATATGCAACTTCTTCAACATCGGAAGCCCTACCTATAGTCATAATATTTTTTAACAATGTAGGAATTTAAATTATAATTAATAGAATTCATAAGAATTCATAATAATTGGTTGATAATAAAATTACCAATACAATTTTAATTAAAATTTTCATTTTATTTATTGATTATTTTTTGTTTGTTGAAAACGAATATTTGGCTTATGAGATATTGATGATATTTTAAAAAGAGGAAATATTTTAATAATTTTAGTACTGTAAATTTCAATATACTATATGATGCAAAGTTAAATATTTATTATTAAATTTAAAACTTCTATTTGCTTAAAACCATAAATAAATGAAAATAATTTTTAATTATAAACTAAAAATAATCTGAAAAAATGAAAGATTGAAATATACAAAATAAACAAAATAATAAAATGTATATACAGTTTATATTGTTAATTTTTTATTTAAATAAGTGATTKTTTAAAAATTGATTATGTCACGAAAAATATAAAATAAAAATAAAGTCAAATCACAGAATGAGGAAAATAAATATAAAATATTCTCGAAGGAAATGCCAAATTAAACTGTCATAACAGATACTATATATTATTTTCAATATCGTTTTCAATATTAGAACAAACATTTTATAATACATAATAATGCATGATATTTTTTAAATGTACAAAGCAATCATCATCAGACTAGTATGACATTATGACAATCAAAAATGGAGTTCAGCCAACCCTGCGAGTGTTCAACTACAATATAACTTTTTCAATCCATAGCCTTAATCCTTAWCACATATTAAAGGTACCCCGTAGTATATAACAAAACAAGGCTGTCTTTCATAACGATCACAAGACTAACAACGAATGATTTTCAGAAACATCATTATAAAAGATTCTATTAAGAATTAACTAACCACACCATCAAATTATGAACAACAATTAATCCTCTGTACATTATCATAAAATGTAATGTACGGACTATTAAAAAGAATTTGGTCCAAAGACCTTTAGTATATTAAAAATTCTAGCAGCGGGGTAGAGTAGCATTGAGAGTTAATCTCAATGCGACGATGGGCGATACCAAAGAAGGACAATCCCACTCTAAAAAAAAAATATTTAAGCACATGATAAAAACACATAACATACATTATGATATCTATCGAGGATGCGATCTAAGATTTGGACATTCTACCCACACTCTGCTGACCAATCTTTTATTATGACCCGTTCCGTGCAGCGTAAATATATGATGCGTTAAAAAATATTTAGAAAAAAAAAATTGAAGACTATATTTTGTTTATTAATTAAACGCAGACTTGAAAACTACGTAAAACATTAATTTGCTAAAAATCTCCTTTCGCCTTCCATAAGTCACTAATCAAGGTTAAAACAAGTAATTCTGAGGTTCAGATACTGAATGTTCCACTTCAGGTGTTCCAGATTACTCTATTGTATACTAAGGTTTTATTCGTTTATGTTAGTTAATGCTCTATACATATAATGTTATAAAAATATTATATTATAACTGCCTAATATTTGTACTCAACAAAGTAGTTGTTAAACCTTTATCACATATTACGGACATGTGTTAAGGTTATAACACACGGGTACTTGCGTGTACTAAAAATTAGAAAAAGTATTATTATTATTCCAAAAGGAAAAATTAAGTATACCTACTATTGTACGTATCTTACAAGTGACATGCTAGTAAGTCTATAGAATGTAGTTATGAAAATGTATTCGGGTATTTATTATATATCATAGAAATTCTAAAAATCTTTTCTTTATCGAAAGTTAAAACTCAAAAAGTAAAGAAATATATTTTTTAAATTTTTTAATATTTAACCTATTATCATATTATATAATATTATAATTGGACTGATTCAATGAATAAAACACTCAATCAGTTTTTTATAATGTTGTCTTCATTGAGTATAAATATCGAATGGGCTTTTTCAAGTAACCAAATTTATTATTGCGCATCATAAGCTGTTGCTAGCGAAATCAGGTTATTGTTTTGTTCGCTTTTTAACCAATCGACGATGTATTTTATTTAATGCAAAAACAGTAATTTGAATATAGAATTACTTTGTCTGTGAATTATTTATTTTATACGGTATTTTCCGGTAGTACCAACAACCCATAAAATTAATTTTCATACGTCAATTTTCAAGGTATTTAATTAAAAAATATCTTTCTTGTTCAATATCATTGCGAACAGCAGACTAAACAATAAAATTTTTATAAATACGTATAAATGTTAAAAATGTATTATGTTAACTTCAAAATCCCTTCTAAAGTGCCAATATTTTTATAAAAAAAAGAATTATAATTCTGATCTCAACATTAAATAAATCCATGATAATAAATATTATTACAGTTCAATATTAACAGTAATGTTTTCGTAGAGTAGGTAAGGCAGGGTAGGCTACCTTTTGAAAATGTCAACCTTACAAAGGCCACAATTTCCTTATTAATATTATAATGTTGTATTCTCATACTCGTATTATAGCGTTTCACGGAAATGGTACAAATTAATTTATACGCAGTAAATCGTGTACATATAAGGCTTAAGTAGTTAAGTGGGCAAAAAATACTGAATACTATAATTCTTTATTAACAGGAAAACAAGGTTTTTTATTTGTATCATAATATATGCCTATTCAAATTAATTTTCAATGAATAAAATATGCATGTAATATATAATTTATTACATCTTTGTGGAAATACCACCAACAATTGTTTGCGATTTCCAGTTATAATTAGTGAATAATATTGTAACTTACACCGGGCTACGCAAAAGATAACACTCGGCAACGTGACCATTGGGAGAATATATAAAGGTAGGTATTTAATAATATAATATATGGTATTAAATAGTAATAAAAAGTTATATCACAACAAATGATTAAATAATGAGCTTAAACTTTAAAATAGTACTATATTGATAATTAAATTAGTTTTTACAATTCAGTCTCCTGGAGGAAATCGAATTATATGAAAAACTGGTCCAAGTATGTCGTATATGTCATCGGGCAATTCATTGCGATTATTCCTTACTTCCAGCCCTTCCAGGTATGCATCAAATTCGGKAAGAATGTATGTGAGCTGGACCCCCACTGTTTATTAATAAATATACAAATAATATATTAAATAGGTACATATACATGGTAAATTAGCTAATCGATTATTTTTTTATGTAATTATTTAAGCCATTGAATTAAAATTTTAAAAAATTGTAGCAATAAATCTTATAGATACAGGTGACAAAAACAACTGCAGATGACAAATCAGTGGTCTGTAATTGTAGCAGTAGGTCATATCACATGTCCATTCTAGTTACCGCAAACTATATGRAGAATTATTACTATTATTAGGTAAAGTCGTTGCAGTATTATAGTTGCGCACTATAATTTATGTAGTATTGTAGTATATCTGTACCTATATACATGGTAAACRGTGATAAATTTAGTTTTAAAAAGCTCACCATATTATGCCATACAGTCATGACATACAAAAAATTCTTTATATTACAGAATATCATTTAAGAAAATATACAATATGTATATTACAAAATTCCGAGAAATTAATATRATGTAAAATAAGTAGGTACTAGGTGTACCTTGTCATTGAGTAGATCACTTTAATATACTAAATTTGAATTCAATCACCTATTCACCTATC